CGTCTTCAGCAGCGTCATTTGTTTCATTGTTCACTTCGTTCCAACTGAAATGTCTTAGACTGTTGGCATGCACCACCTTTGGCTTACCTCGCCGACTACATTTTATTCGGAAAGTCACGTCTGAGAGATGATCCACTATGTCATATGGGCCTTCCTATGGAGATGGCAACTTAGGAGACTTCCCTTTGGTCTTCCTGGGATTATACAACCACACCTTGTCTTCTGGTTCAAAGCTGACTTCAGTAGATCTCTTATCATAACATAACTTCACCGAATCAGCAGATGTTTTCAAGTTTGAATGCATTTGATGGTGAATATTATCCATCCTTTCGATAACACTTTCACGAATTCTGATACATTTTCAGGCAACTCTTCATAAGGTGGGCATCCTGTTAACAGATCCACTGGCAACCGAAGTTCCCGACCAAACATCAACTTTGCTGGAGTGTATCTCATGACGTGTTACTAGCGTCACGTGACTTCCGCTGTCGTAACAGTACCTTATGATTGTTACATGACCTAGTAACACATGTTTTTCTATCTGTTCTTTTAAACAAGGTGAAATTTAGACCGGTCAATAGGTTTAAGCATAATATTAGAAAAAAATTCGATGATACGATAGTTAAGCAGTTAAAGCAGTTAGTGTGACAAATATATACTATTTTCTGACTATCAAATAAAATATTTAAGGTTAACATGTGATACGTTAGTCATACTAAGTAGTGTCTTATACATATACTAACCGCGAACCGCAAAACATTTGCAGTAGTTTTCATACCCTTCGCTTGAATTTTTTCTTATTTTATCATTTTCACCCACGCCATTTAAGCTACATTTTCTTGCAGGTATTATGTGTTAGATCGATGAATCTTGGTCTATTAGAAAAAAAACAAAAACGGTCAGTCAAACAAACTCACTTAGATGTAACTTTATTTAATAAAACTACACGTAATGTAAACAATAAAGTAAGGTAATAGTGTGCATAATTGTGTACAGAGTATGAAAAAGTTATGAGCTTTCAGTGAATGATAAGATTTTACAAGTTGAAACAAATATACTCACGAAAGCGAAGAATAAAACACGTAGTAAAGAAAAATAAGTAGCTAAAAGGTGTTTATAGCAGTCTATGAAACGAACCGAAGCTAAATTATTGCAAAGTAAAGTAAATGTAAAGTTGTAATGAAGGAAAACTTAGCTGAATATGCAGAAATGTCTGAATGCGTGTTCACAACATACTAATATACTAATGTCTGAATGCGTGTGGTGTTGAACGAACTGCACATGCGTATTTTGACCTAAATAAATTGAGAAAGCCCATAGAAACTGTATTTAATGTGACGATAATTTTTTAGGAAATTACACACTGGTTAAATGTTGTTTGTGTGAAATGCTCAGCAAATAAAAAACAAAAGTTGAAATCGAATATAGTCGTCACGTGATGACAACGACATTGTGCCGTCATGTACCATACTGGTTGCATTGAAAAGTTTGACTAAGCAAAAAACAGGTAAGGAAATTCTGAATTAAAAAGCCTTTTTATCGATATGAATAAATTTACGAGAAAAATTCCGGACAGGCAAACGCAACCGTATTATTTATATAGATGTCAGCCCACAGACACATACCCAGAGATACCAAAAACAAAGTTATCATTTCCTTACTCACAGTTAAAAACCGTTTTCTGTTCTATAGCTAAGATATTATTTTATGGAATAACACAGAGAATAATCACTAGAACTCTTCGGTGTTATTCATATTAGTTAGTGTCAGTTTGTTTATCTAAACCTATGAATTACTATAGAAAGAAACTAGAAATAGGGTCACCATTTTGTTACCGACAATCAAAAACCGTGTTCTGACTATCGTAGAAAGTTTCGGGGTTTACACAGCATAGCAATACTAAAACTCTTCATGTTAGAACAAGTTGATATACATGTATCACCATAGAATCAACTTACTGTCTTATTACAAAACTCATAAATGAGATTTCGCCTAATTTTATGTACTATCTATCACACCTTAATTTAAAATAGCCCTCCAATGACTCAGCTGCAAGTCTGAAGGCTTGTAACGCTATAAATTAGGTTCTGATACTCATAGTGGGCATATGCCATTGTGTAGCTTTGTGCTTCACAACAAACAAACAAAACAATTTCAAAGATAAGTTGTCTTGCTTTAAATTAGTCCTTCACATATGAATCTTGAGTCTGGTTTAATTGCAGATGAAAGACTCAAATATGGCTGGCAGAGAGATATCGCATCACAAAGACAAACCACTGACATAACTCATTGATTTCTGGTTTTCGTTGAGGTTGGTTATGTAACTGAATAAAAGAAAATACGTGAAATGTGATAGTTACAATAACGTTTCATGCGCGTAGGCAGAGAGGACAGCGTAATTGCACCTATAGATACATACATATATACACACACATATATAAAGCATATTTAAAAGGTGTAAAAAGTGCCCCAGATACCATCAAAATGCATCTTTTTCTGTGATAATTACAAAATGTTTTTACGGGGCCTCCATTGCCATTTATTTCTTTTCTTTCCTCCAAAAACAGCACGATCTTTATAGGTTGCTGATTACGACCCTGTGTTTTAAAATATATTTTTTATATTTAGGAGCAAATATATAAAACATATGTTTTCTAGTTTATTAAATGACGACAGTTCCATCTCTTCATATGTGTTTAGAAAATGAGTATTCTAAATTTTTATATCTATAGATTGATAAAAAAGGAACACCAAAGCCAAATATGTGTCCAAAACTTGTTGTTAAATTTTAAATATGCCTTGCTTGATAGTTTTGTAACTGAGGTAAGACACAATTCTTCTCATAGGATATCATACACCCACTGAAAACAAACCTTTAAGCCACTTCTTAGTCTCTAAGTGTTTAAGTAAGGGGTTGTCATTAAAACATGTTATGAGATAAATAATTCCCTGTAGAACTTTCTGACGCAACCATTTAAATGAATGCAGAGAGAAAGGAATGTGCTCTAAACTAATCAACATATGTTAGCTAAAGTTACACTAGTTTAACGAAAAGAATACGAAAATACGTATAAGTTTATATCGTTTAATTCTAAATATAGAAAAAATGTTGGAATGTTTCAATAAATATAGAAAGGTTCTATAAATACGGAGTATGTTGAGTGTTTAAAATAAAAATGTTCAACATCCTGCTTGAAGTCTTCTTTTTTGAGAAACATAAACTACTTTAGGTTAAAAAAAAATGAACCATGGAAAAAATCACCTGAAGACTGCAGCTTACCTCTGCAGAATATACAGTTAATAGCTTTGTCAAGCATGAAAATGGTAGAATATACAAAACTAAAAATCCAGTTATCTGAGGACGAAAGAATGAAACATTACATGCCATTTTAAGCATTACACGAATATAACGACTAGATACGGGGCCAGCATGTCCAGGTGGTTAGGGCGCTCGACTCGCAATCTGCAGGTCGCGGATTCGAATCCCCGTCCCACCAAACATGCTCGCTCTTTCAGCCGTGGGGGCATTATAAATGTAACGGTCCTCCCACTATTCGTTGGTAAAAGAGTAGCCCAAGAGTTGGCGGTGGGTGGTGATGACTAGCTGCCTTCTCTCTAGTCTTACACTGCTAAATTAGGGACGACTAACGCAGATAGCCCTCGTGTAGCTTTGCGCGAAATTCAAAACAAACAAACAAACAAACGACTTGATACAAAGATTTATTTATTTTTGTAGAGCAAAGTCACATTGTGTTATTTTCTGTGTCTACCAAAAGGAATCGAACCACGTATTTTGGCAATGTAAGTCCATAAAGTTACTGCTGTTCCACCGCTTGTCAAAGTACAAACCACTTCCGGTAAAAGGGCTGTTTGTTTGTAATTAAGCACAAAGCTACACAACGGCTCTGCCCACCACGGGTATCGAAACCCAAATTCCAGAGTTGTAAGTCCGCAGACACACCGCTGTGCCACTGGGGGGGGGCAAAAAAAGGGCTGTTTCAATAACTTTCTATATGTTGAGTAATTGCGTTGGTGCCTCTTGAAAGGGAATTATTTAATTCTTAATTGTTAAAGCACATGTCCATAAATTACGCAAAAGGATAACTATAAATAGTTAACATCTTTGTTGTAAGTGCTTTCGACCTAGAAAAAAATAATATACTAAAATATATTCAATTTCGTAATCTTGTGAACATGAGACTTCACTTAAGATAATTCCATTTCAGTGAATCACAGAAACCCTTGTATAAGCACTGTTTAAACAGGAAGTAGTAAAAAAAAGAGAACAAGAAAATTCTGTCCCACAAAAACTGTACTTAAAGTGGATATACAATGTAAACACTGGAGGTCACAAGAATGTGATCAAATTTTAAACCAGGTGCGGTAGACTTTTAAAGGCTCGGAATAATATAATTTGCAACCGACAAGAAAGTACAACTTACAAAAAACAGCAGAAAGCAACTATGTTTTATCTTTTTAATTTAATTATGCCAGAAAAACAGTTCAATGGTCAATTGGTTGATGAGGAAAGTTATTATGTTGTGTGAAATTTATATAATTAAAAATATTGTATTTATCTTGTGAAACCCGATTGGCCACTCTCCCTATTTTAAGTGCTACAGTTTGTTTGAAGTTAAGCACAAACTACATAATGGGCTATCTGTGCTCTGCCCGTCATGGATACCGAAACCAGGTTTCTAGCGTAGTAAGTCCGCAGACTTAAGCGCTACAAAACTTGTTTAGTTATATAGAGGATTTCTATGCTTTAACAACTGGCAAAAAAGTTGCAGTATTGGTTCAAATTAAAACTAACAACTATATATCTATTGTAATTTTTTCAACTTGGAATAACATAATCTTGAGACATTTTTTTTTAATTGACTGTTTTAAGAAATGTTCGTTTCCGCATTTTCAAAACAAACGCTTAAACAAATTCTAAGCTATCCTGTCAAAAGTTTTTAATTATAAAATAAATCTTTGTAGTGCATGTCATTGGTGAAAAAGTTAAATGCAGAATAATATATTAAGTATGAACAATTTATATATTTTTATATACATTTTACAAAACAAAACTCACAGCTTTTCCTATTGCACTAATAGACATAGATCTTGGTAAGCGAGGCATCCCCTGTTCTTCACCTCCTGTTTCATTGTTGCTTGGCAACATACGATTCTCTATTAACAAACGCCGAGTGTCTTCCAACTCTTGATGGTCTTTCTCGTAAATTCTCTTCAAATTTTCGACATAGGAAACCATAACTTCAAAGGCACGATTCATTCTCTCCTCCTAAAATAAAAATATGAACATTATGCTCTTTACTTGTAGTATACAAGAAAGCAAGTAATTTAATTCCAAAAGGTTCAATTCTCTCTTTGTTTAACTTTAACATAATTTCATTATATCCAAAACCTTAATGTGATTCTAACATTTTGAAAAATATTACTATATTTCTTTTGTCTTTAAAAAGTTTAATGACTCTAAGATTGGAAATCTCACCGTGATAATTGTAGCCTGAAAATCTTGACATCGTCTATACTTTGAAAATATTACAATGAATCATTAAATATTGAAAATACTACCTTAATTGTTCTGACCTGTAAATATCTATTTCTTAAAATCAATCTAGAACTCCAAACGAACTATTAGATAATGGGACAAAACACAATTTTGTATTTGGAAAGTTTATGTACTTTAGTTTATAAAGGTAAATGTTTTTTGTCCACGAAATTTTTAAAACTTCCATACTTATACGTGTCGGCCCAAGTGTTACCATATAGTTTTATATTGATAAATAGCTATGATTGTTTTGAGTTTACTTTGAGCTATTTACATATTCCCCTTGATATTTCTAGATCTGCCCGCGGTTGATGTACCTAAAGAATTCCTTAAGGCTTCTACTAATAGGTTTTGTGGCCATATCAGGTGTAGAGGAATGGAAGACTTGTCTTCCCTATTGTTCTTAATGGAAGTAAACAGGTGAAATATGCTCTCTGAAAGAGTTTACCCTTTCCAGATACGTAGGATAAGCATTTAGTGGTTTATCCTCTCAGTCTTGGCTACAGTTACACTCAGATTCTCGATATATATATATATATGTATATACTTCATAGGTAGAAGTGTGTCTGTCTTTCCTTCTATGCACGCATCAAGCAAAAACTGAACATTATTGTTCTGTTTAATATTTTGCTTTGTGAATAAACAAAACGATTTTTTTACAATCAAACTTCGTGTCAGTTCAGTCAGGATAAAAATTCACATATACTCTGCAATACATTTTAAATGAGCCTTTTGTTAGAGTTGTCACTACACCTACTTTAGGAAGTCAGTTTATTAGAGAATATCACAACTGTATCTAACCTAGAGTGGACACAGTGGTCATCTTGTGTCCAACACTATGGTGTTCAGCCCAGCTCATATAGGGGCTAAATTGGACTTGGTACGTGGTGGTAAAGGTGTAAGAAATTAGATCAAATTCCTGATTCATACAGGAGCTTCCTGAATATTGGTCAGCCTTGTAGCCAGGCGCCTTGAGTGAAGTCACCACTTTGACCACTTCGATACAACCTTTCTTCTGCAAACGATGACAAGCTAAACGCGAGTAGAAAGGCGTGTCTCTGATATCTTGGCTCTGTTACTCACGAAATAAAGATAGTTGTTTCTAATATTGGGGATAGACAGTTGACAGAAACCGCTTCAGCAATTAAAATCAGTACTAAAAACATTGGTTAGGTATTGCTGATAAAAGAAGTATTTATTAGTATATTTAACGTTTAGCGCCACCGCCCTCCCTCTGACTATTGAAGGTTCGACCTTTAAAAGAAATTATGGATAGAACAGCACGAGGTTTAAACTGTAAATAATATTGATATTCTAAGAATGACCTACTAAAGAGGTTGTAAATCAGTTTTTGTTTATGAGTTTCAGTTCCGTCCACTGCCGACAATACTAGGACTTAGAACAATGGACTATACAAGTACATGTTGAGCAGAAAGTCAAAATGTCTCTGAATGTACAAGCTTTGGTCTCCAGACGAAGTCTATTTCTGTCTAGTGTGGTGATTCGGTTTGCACAAGAAAAACATAGTTTTCTCTCCAGAAATCAGTCTGCACTTGCTCGAACAGTTATCTATACAAATGCTGGCTTTGTTCCGTTACTGGTCAGCTATTCGGCTTTTCATTAGAATGATGATTGACACGATGTATGAAGCAGAAGTTATTTGAACTAACTGTATAGCTAGGGTTGCTTTAGCTGGGCGAATACTCACTGCACATCATGATGCCATATTATGCAAGAAAGCAGCTGGTTGTTCGCCAAAGTTTGGCTGGGAATACAGATCCTGTGGAAGTTTTGTATGGTATGCCTACCAGTATAGATGTGTAACAGTGCATCAAGAATATGTAGAGTGGTTGGGGTAGACATTAGTTGATACACATGAATTTGCAGTTGGGTAAAAGAGATGTTATGACAAGACAGTAAAGGAACAAAAGTTTAGGAGAGAAGACTTGGTATGGCTTTGGTATATATCTAATAAATGAAAGTGATTTGGTTCTGACTAAATAGGTCCTTATGGTGTTTTCAGAGAACTCAGTTCATCAAACTGCGAGAAGCAGCAACAGCTTGGCATACAAAAAATTCTGTAAAATGTTAAAGCCAATATATCACTGATTTCCTTAAAGTATTGAAACTAAGAACATTTAATTTAAGATCGAGTTGTAAAAATGAAAGTATTTAACTGTTATTGTAAAACAAATATATCTTACTTGTCTTAAGATAAGGCTAGAGGCGTTTACTATAAAAATTAATGAATGTTGTTTTACATAGGTTAACTTATACTCCTCAATGGTAAATAGTTTTGTTTTCATAAATTTTCTATATTATATGTCAGTACAATTCATTGTTAAAAGGTTTCGTATAAATGTATATATTTTTATTATCCCTTGATAATTTGTCTATAAGTTGTGCCATGAAGCATATTTGCCTGTTGCGAGGGTTGGGTACCACAGAAGCAAATCTGATTCATAGTTTCGGTTTATATATATCTATAATTTCTTTGGATTTAAAGTTTGTGGTTACATGAAAGGTAAAGGGAATGAACTATGCGGCATGTTTCACATACCAATTGTTTAGAAAATAAAAAATTCCCATTAACGAACATGGTTGTTCTTGATGCATGGATAATTCCTTTAGGCTTGTGCTAATGGGTTTTCTGGCCACATCAGTCATCTGACGGCTTAGCAGTATGGAAGATTCTGTCCTCCCTATTTTTCTTAATAGAAATTACCAAGTGAAGTGGCTGACAAATGCACCCTGAAAGAGCTAACCGTATTCATATTAGTATTCTCTCAATCTTGACCAGGTTCTTTCTTTTTCTCTACTCCAGAAACAGGAGTAAGGTTGTCTTCCATTTAGTATGTAAGTTAAGCACAGACTGGACATTCGTGATGTATTTCGTCTTGTGAATAAATGAAACGTTTTGATTACTGTCAAGCTTTGTTTTTCAGTTTCTTTTCTTGTTTCAGTCCAGTTGGGGTAAAACTGTGATGTACTCTGATATATTTTCTGACGAACTTCTTGCAAGTTAGAGCAGTTACTACATTCACTTGTATAAAATTAGTGTATCTTAGAATACCATAACTGTATCTGATAAATATTTGCAATCACTGACTCTCCGCTATTGAACTAAAGCCCTGGAATAAGTCTCCAAGTTACGCCAACATAACATAAATCTAGGAACTACTAATACCTTTGGACTTTTTATCGGTTTAGACTAGCATCAGTAAATAAAATAATTAAAATGAAATATATAAATCTATTTTGTTTCAGTTAAACACGCAAAGAGTAAGCTATTTTACATTTGTATCCTGTTCATGGTTTACAAGTTATGGTTTGATAATCGACAACTAAAAGCAGATACTTTGGTACTGCATACTGTATAGAATTCTTTTACCTGTTGAACAGCTCCATATAATTCGGCACAGCTCGAAACACGTGCACATGTTTGTTGAACAATCTCTAATTGTTGTTGAACCTTGCTGATTAATTTTCGCATTTGATGTGTAGTGCTTTGTTGGTTCAGCACCTTTACAAACAGAAAAAAACCCCATCATGGCTTAAGTAATAGCATGTTTCAGAAAAAATATATAATTTTTCAGTTATATATATAATATATTAAACTTTTGTTATTATAAAGCAATTTTAAAGTTTTCTTTGAATAATTCGAACTTTATCTTTATCGCGCAACAGATCATTTCCGAAAATGTGTATAATTCATTACATTTAGATATTCTTTAAGTGTTTTTGCCTCATTTTCCACACTCTTTTCAGCGGTGTCTCTCTGGCGCTGCTGTAATTCGATCCTCTGGTTTAAAGTCAGTTTATCTGTCCTGAAACCCAGGGACAGCTTGCTGAACTTGTTCTGTAACGAACAAAAGGGAGAAACTTTTATCTGATGTCATATGAATTTGGTTTCGCTATTATTTTTATAGTTTAATTTATTGATATGTCGAAATATATATCAATAAACAAGTGACGGATTTAATCAAAACGTAAACTAAAGAATTCTGCTTGAACATATCTCTTGGAATACAATATATTTTAAGCTATTGAACATCGTACAATATTTGTATTTAAAATAAATAGTGCTGTGGTAGTAAACAAAATGTGTGGTCAGAGATATGGCAAAAAATAAACTGTAGCCACGTGAGTATATATCCATGCAATGTTTATTTGTCTATTAAAATGTAACACCTGCAAGATACACATTTATATATTTTTAAATAATCTACAAATAAACTATAATTTCTTATTAGAAATGAAGTTTAACATTAAGAAGTCTAATGTACAAAAATTACATTTTTGTGAAAGTGGTCAGACTAACATTTATACTAAATTCTGATGTATATCAATCGAATGAAAATGAATTAATTTAATACTCATTAGCAGGGTGTTTTTTATATTCTTAGTTTTTGGATAAATACTAATAACGTAAGTTATCTAAGGAAGTGCCATATCATTTGACAATTGAAGAAAATCTTTACTGACACACATGTAAAAAATAACATCACAAAACTTTCGTTAGACAAATTAACAAGTGATTTAGAATACACATTTTTTGTATCGTAGAACTTCAGAAGAAAACTTTAAATATGGGTAATATCTTGAAAATAAGCTACATTCGAATATTTTTTTCTTTATCAACTTATGCCTGTCCTCAATTCCACTTTAAATTGTTAAGGAAGTAAGAAGTAAGTTTCAATTAGAAATCCCAAATTCCAAAGATTCAGTTTACACTACTATACATTCGTAGTTTCATCCCCACCAGTACACAAGGATGGTAGAACGTCGCTCAGAAGTCTACCATTGTAAATGAAGGATTCGTATCAAATCGAAACTAAGACTAAATTTACCTATAAAACGGTATAAGAGAATAAAAAGGTATTAATTAGCTCAGGCTGCACCTTTAAAATAATTAAATAAAATAACGATAAGTATATTAGCCATTTAACAAAAATCTTACCTCAATTTCCTTTTCACTTAATTGGCCACTGCTGAAAATGCACAATAAAAAGTTACAAGTCGTACAAGCACATAGCAACAATTTCCATAATAGCTATCTACATATATAGAATTTGAAAAGAGCAACAATAATTGAAATTATTGCAAAAATATTTTCCAACATAAAGGTTTCTACGTTTCATTGCTTTGTAAAACTTCAAATTTAATAGCGAGTTAATCATAAACTATACCTTTTTTATTGACAGATAAAGAAGTAAACATGTTTTAAAACTTTTTAAATAAAAAAACTACGTTCCGCTAAGTTTACCCAGCATCATCAGGTGGAAAGCTTTGATTGTAATAGTACAACAGTTCAAACTGTCACGTGTTACAATATCAGTCATGATATTACGTCATTAAAAAATAATAACACAGCTCTGAAGAACCCTAAACTGATGAAAACGCGCTGTCACCAATGGATATGACAAACATAGTGTGGTTGGAATACGATTATTATGCACTGTTCTAATTCTTGAAAATCCTTAAGTGACTAGATACAGAACGTAGTGTTTAAAAATGTAGTAAGTCTACTGCTAATGTCTTATGATAAGTATAATTAATCATAATGTAATAGAAACAAATAAAATATAAGTATAGAAAAATTAGTTTGATGTAAAAACCTTCTCACATACATGCTAGTTGAGGAAGCAATTGTTATCAGAATGACTCCAATCCGAGATCCTATTTAGATGTTTCTGTCATCAAAGAATTATTTCATTTTACAGAAACTCTTACAAATGTTAATTTTCAAGGCGTTAATTATGAATAAATCTAAGATTTAAATATGGGAAATCCGGTTTCGCTTGTTTTAGTCTATATACTTATGATCAAGATGGAATAAACTACTATTTCCTCTTCTTTCCATCTTCCAGTTTCCTGGATTTATATGGCTGACATTTGTATGTCTTTAAAACGTAATTATAAATCATCACATTATTAAGCTCATGGTCGAAAGTGAAATTGATGGTAAACTTTCATTTTTAAATGTTTTAGTAAGAAAAATAGAGACAATAGATTTAACATCTCCCTTTTGTCTAAAGATACATACTCAGGAGTTTACCTTCATTACACGATCCTTAACCAAATGGAGAGGTCTTTAAAACTTTTTTGTTATACAGGTAAAAATACTTCTTCCTTTCAATAGGCTTTTCTGTGCCCCGAATTCCCAGTTGATGTCTTTAAAAATCAGAATAGAAAAACCATGATTGATATCATACCGAAACGCCGAAAATTCCTGCCACTATGGCCATGATATTCGAATCTTTTAAGCACCTAGCGACACCTTTTCTAACTTAAAAAAAAGTGAAAAGATTAAACCCCATCTTGAATCACAAAATATGCATCTTTTCTATGTTGTAAATAAAACTTTATAGTCCTTAGAAAATGAATTACTAGTCGAAAAAAAAAATAGAAACTTAGAAAACCTGCCCCTCTATTAAGGTGTGTTGCGGTACATGCCCAGACTTGCATACTTTAACAATACAATGTGGCCATAAATTGTTAAAGAGTACGATGAGAATTTCAACGTGAAAATTTTCTTTCCTGCAGGAGAAAATATTAGGCAGCTTCTGTCAAAAAAAAATTGTTTACAACGTCACATCAGGATCAGCGTATCAAATTTAATGTAAAGATTGTCATAATTCTTACGTCGGATAACTAACCGATAGCTTTCAACAAGACAAAAAAATATTTGACAACACCCTCTTATGTACTTGAACACACGATGAAAAACAATTACCTCTTTAGCTTTTCAGATGTTGAAATCACCGAAAAAAGAAAACAATGTAAATTGTAGAAAAATTTAATAACTTTCTTTTATCAAAAAATCTAACATAATTAAATACACAGCTGTACGGTTATATTATTGTAATTGTTTTCATTGCCTAGTTATTGTTTATTTCTATTACGTTATTGTTTAATGACATAATGTAATTACTGATATTGTAGTACGTGACAGTTTGACTTGTTGTGACATTCTGTTCAAAGCTTGCCACCTGGTTATGCTAGATCTAGTGAAAAGTAATGTTTTTTAAAACATATTTACCCGTTTATCCTTAAATGAAAAATTGTATCTAATTTTAAAAACTCTTTCTATAAACTATGAAAGTTATTCATTATTCACTAGCAAAGGTAGAAACATTTTGTTTACATACACTCAACGGTCTTAACTACAACAATTATACTGTGTGTGTATGTGTAAAACAGGTAATTTACGGTCAGCGCTTGACGATAAACAATTAACTTTATACATTATTCGTAACAAAAAATCAAAGGCGTCGCTAGGCACTGGCACACGAGGCACGTGCCCCGATTGTATTTAACAATGCCCCGAATCTCCATTGGTGTCTTGAAAAATCAGAATAGAAAACCATGATCGATATCGTACTGAAACGCCGAAATTTCCCGTGCCTATAGGACCGAGCCCCGAAATCATTAAAGCACCTAACGACGCCTCTGAAAAAAAAAAAAAATCACAGAAAAAACTATACTTCACAGAACGCTTACGATTTCCGTATTGCTTGCACCAACTCATAAAAAGAGCTAATCTGGGACATCTTGCTTTCTTCCACGTGATCTTCAATGTATGGGACTTATTTCATCAAAACACAACTTATTTTATATAACAGAAGACGCTTTGTGTAAAGAGTACCTCAATACGCTATGTATAAGAAGCGGTAAAAGATATGGCTTACTGATCAGCTGAAGGATCAGAAAGAGGTTGCTACGATTTCCAGTTCGTGGTGCCCTAACTTTGAACACCGTTGTTCGTAGCACAAATTGTATGTGAAACGGTTAACCGCCTGCCTGTCTCTAACTCTTATCGCCAGCAGGAAGCACGTCATTATATATGCTATTCACTTCCGGTGTAACTGTGTAAACTTAATTTCCAAAATTAAAATATATTGAACAAAGAGTCTTGTGGAGTGAAGTGATTTGAAACAGTACAAAAAAAGAAAAAGAAAAAAAGAGCCACACAAGTGGTTATTATTAATTTGTCCCATATCAAACATGTACTTTACGTTTCTGATAATCATCACCAAGTGATAGGCAATTCTAGACTTATTAAATGGAAATTTCTGAGTGGATAAAGAAAAACATATTAATGCATTACATTTTACATGTTGCTTCTTGTTGATATGTAAATAACTCAGTGTTACATCTCATGCGATGGTCATTGTTATTCAGCCAGTTTTTATTTACAGAAGTTTTACGCCTGTTGACGAAATCAGTTAATAGTTTTTTATTTACAATTGTTTTGTACCAAATTATATATGCTCACGTGGTAACCAATACAGTCTTGAAAACGGTGGTGAACAAGGGATGATAAATTTATAAACATGATCTATTTGAATTTTAAAGTACATGGCCACAGAATACATGTACTTTTCATCTCGCTGAGTTTCTGATCTCCCTTCAAGGTAACGTTTCAAGAATTAAACTGAAATGGTGTACACAACTATAGCAGTAAAACAGGTTATTGGTTGGTAATATAAGAACTTTCTACTGATATATTCGTTTGTTTTAAAATTTATTCTGATATACCTCTCACTTACCTCGTCAGTTCACACGACAAAAATGTATATCTTATTCTTATTCTAAGTTGTAACGTCATCTTATAGCTTACATCAATTTTAAGATGAAAAATGCGACTTAAAATCATTCATCATAAAATATCTTACCTCTCTATCTTATTGATAAACACTTTTTTATAGAAACATCCTATTTTTATGTTGTAATCTGCTTCTTACAATCCTTTTACCTTGAATCTGAAGCGTTTCAAACATCCTATTTTTATGTTGTAATCTGCTTCTTACAATCCTTTTACCTTGAATCTAAAGCGTTTCAAACATCCTATTTTTATGTTGTAATCTGCTTCTTACAATCCTTTTACCTTGAATCTAAAGCGTTTCAAACATCATATTTTTATGTTGTAATCTGCTTCTTATAATCCTTTTACCTTGAATCTAAAGCGTTTCAAACATCATATTTTTACGTTGAAATCTGGTTCTTATAATCCTTTTACCTTGAATCTAAAGCGTTTCAAATATCATATTTTTTACATAAAGCTGGTCACGGATATATTTGACATAATTTAGCGCTGGAAATTTAAAATTTCAATCACACGTAGTCTAATAGTGGGAAAAAAATAAACGTAGAAAATAGTTGAAATACAATGAACTGTTTCTTTAAAAAACGTAATAAAAGCTAAGAAAGGAAAAGTAAAAATACAAATGTTAATATTACAAATGGTTAATTAGATACATATAATATTGATATAAATAGCTTTATTATTTAGCAGTTTAATCAGTTTGCGTATTATAGTGTTTGAGAATGTTAAGGAGCATATTATGGTTTTGGAGAAAATGCAATGTTTTCTTTCTCTCCGATTTTATAAAGGCGAGCTGTTCGGTTTACCGAAATCTTCAAAAATTTTCAGATTGTTATTATTGTTTGTCATAAAGCACAAGGACTATCTGTGCTCTGCCTACCACGGGTATCGAAACCTGGTTTCTAGTGGTATAAGTCCGCAGACATGCAGCTGTGCAACTGGGGGCAAAATTTTCAGATATGCTTGCATCCGGTTCGTTTACGTATAGAGAAATCAGCATTGGGATTTAGTGCCCTTTTTTTGTGTGGCAGAATTACACAATGTCAGGGCGTGTGTTCCATTTTGGTATTCAAACATTTTTCACAAATTATGTCACTGGATAGCTATTTTGATTCTCGTGTCTATATTATCCGATAACATTTCTGTGTTTTAAATCTAAAAATGCCCGGAAACTCTGTCCTCCTCATTTTTACTTACGGGATGACCAGGGACGTAGGAACTGCATATACTCTGTAGAATTGACTCTATTTGTTTAAGTAGAGAACATTCACTTTAGATTTTCTTCATATATTAAGCTCTCTTCATATTCCAGAGAGTAGTGCTGTCTAACGTCAGTTCTTACTTTACGTTGCTTTGACAAGTAAATATTGATCCTTACATTGTATTACTATCGTTATCTGTAAGATTATCAATGAACCTTAGAATGCCACATTACCAGAATTTAAATCATGAACCCTCGGTTTATGTTAAAATTCTGAGAACGATGTTCTACCAAGTGAAATAATGAAACTCAAATTATATCCAAATAATCCCCATTCTGATGGGTAGAATATTTTCATAAGTATTTGGAATTTTTACACTTTCTCACAGACGCTATTGTTGAAGAGTATTTTGGTTTTGAATCGTTGTTACCAGGTAACATCACTGCGTTTAAGTTTAGAAATACCTAGGAGCTCTGTCTTTCTAAGATTCACTTTGGATGACTAGTGCCGTGACTGTTGAGAGTTGACCCTATTAGTTCAAGTATATAATAGTTAAATATCTCAATCCAGTGCCTTGCGATTAGAGCGTTCGACTCGCAATCTGTGGGTAGCGGGTTAGAATCCCTTCACCGAACATGCTCGCTCTTTCAACCATGGGGCGTTATAATGTGACGATCAATCCCATTATTCTCTCATAAAAAAGTATCCCAAGAGTTGGCAGTTGGTGATGTTGATTAGCTGCTTTCCCTCTAGTGTCTCACTTCACAATTAAGGAATTATAACGCAGTTAGCTTTCGAGTAGTTTGCGCGAAATTTAAAAGACAAACAAACTCAATTCAAATCACATTCTCTTTAGATTTTCTTCTGATATTGAGCTCTCTCTCTATTCCAGAGAGCAGTGCTCTCTAGCCTTTTTGTCTGGAATTAGTTTTCACATTTCCTTGCTTTGATAAGTAAAAACTGATCTTTACATTGTATTCAATCTCTATTCTTCAACTCAGTCAAATCAACATTAACTTGAATTTCACATTACACTTTCTGTGTTTCCTCTAGTTATTATGGTTACTATCTTTATCTGTAAGTTATAAGTGTACCTTAGATTGCCACATTACTAAATTTTAAATATTGAACTCTCGGTTTATGCGAAAGTTCTGAGACCAATGTCTACCAACTGAACTACCAAGACTTGGTTCCCACCCAGATAATACTCATTCTAACAGTTACAATAGTTTCTTAAGTATTTAAAAAGTAATGTACACTTTTGATATGCTTGGTGAATTATAGTATCATAGCTTTGAAATGTCAATAAAAATACATTTAGAAATAATTCAAAGTAATAAGTAGCATTTGAGCCAGAAATATTTACCAAGAACAAAAATGCCGTAATATTTGTTTATTATTAACTTTTGTCAATGTAAAGTTGAATAACATTTCTTCAAAGTAATGTGACAGTCCTTTTTGCACATTTAAACTTTCACACAAACAGTTTCCTTGAAAGATGTTTGGTATTTTCAACATGAACGGAATGGTAACGAGGCACATGGTTTTTACGACCAAGCCAGGTGACTCCAAGGTTCAGGCAAAGCAGTCCTTATTTTAAAACTAAAGATATGGCGGAAGGCAACTAGTCAATAACACCTGTTAACCGAACAGCGGAACTGAAAGTAACAGTTACAGCACTTCCATAACTGAAAGTTGCATATTGAGACTCGAACTTCAGACCTACTGATCGAAGCCAAATACATTAGCTACTTGGCAACACCCGGTCCAACTTAGGGTAGACATAATGTATCTTATAATTATTTACTCCGCTATTCCTTAGTGTCTCCTGTGTATTTTAATAGAAATTTTCCACTCTACAAGTCTATTGGGTTGTAACAAATGAAGTAAGTAGTAATAGCATTAAAATGAATTGAAGTAATTTTAGCATGTAAGAGAATAAACCCTAAAGAGATGAAATTCCGAATAAGATTTTAATTTACAAAACGACAGTTACAAGTTCATATGGATTCATTTCAGACAAAACAATGCAGTAACTTTGGGTACAAAGCCATTAAGTTTCACATCAAGACAACTCTAGTTAAATGCTAAAGTGAACTAGGAACACAATAATCATTAAATATAATAATTCAATGATCAAAGAAAACAAGATGCTTGAAATAAGATTACTGTATGGTTTACTATTCTGTTTTAAAGATGGATCAACGGCAAGTTTAAGGACTCACAATACTAAAATTCGGGGTTTGATTTCTCGTGGTGGACAAAACGCAGATAGCCTGTTGTGTAGCTTTGCATTAGAACAAACAAAACAAATAAGGAAAATGCTTACTTATGATGAAAGTTGTTTAAATCCGAGAAACAACTCAATTTAATATGCATGGTTATCTATAACTGAGTCGCAAATATAGGAGCTCCCGTGAAAATACTGTCACTTTAAAATGTAAACTAAGATACATAAATCAGAGTAATCACTTCATTTAGTCTTCTTAAAAACAGTCTGCTGTATTATCTAATTACAGCATACATTGTTTCACAGTTAATAATATTTAGAGACCAACCTAGATTGTAACATTTTATTATTCCTTTTAATCCTAAGAACAAATACCTATAGAACACCCTGTTACTGATAGCCTAAATAAACCCAGATTTGAACATAACATAATAACTACAAATAATTAAAGCAATTCAGTTCGTTTTGTTTCTATACGTTCACAAATTGCCACTACCAGAGCCGTTGCTCTGTGCACAAGCTTATGAAAATAACAAAACATATCGTAGTGGGGATGGAGTAGAAAACTTGTCAAATTATTAACAAATGCAAATTACAAGAAAGTTCACCATGGCATTCTTAGTATATAGTTTTGTGATATTCTACAAATCAGACTTTGGAAAATTCTTAGGATAATTTCCGTTATACGATGGGTTATTATTATTATTAACATACTTTGTCTCACAAATTTCGAACTGAGTTTGTTTTAATTCTAAATAGTAACTGTTTTACTCTCTTTTACATCTGATTCATAACTAATTATAAACTGATCATTTTTATATAAACACCCCATTGGCACAGCGGTATGTCTGCGCACTTACAACGCTAGAATCTGGGTTTCGAAACTCCCTTAGTGGGCAGAGCACAGGTAGCCCGTTGTGTAGCTTTGTGTTTAACTAAAAACAAACATTTCATATATATATATATAAATAAAGTATATTACGAACGTTATATTTTGCTAATGACGGAAATTATTCTACTTTTATCACCAGGAGAATTTTTTGTGATAATGTAAAATTAAAACCAAAATCATTTCTGTCCAATTACACAGAAATTTCATCTAAATATTCACAAACAAAATCAAAGTACATGAAAAAATGTTTCATTCATTTATTTATTGTTAGGGTAAGCAATTTGGTATCGTACACAAAATGTTACACTCTTCATGGATATTATAGAACCTCTTTTCTTGCTGACTGGAAGCTTACTTCATAATGCTAGTTGATTCCAATAATCCAATACGTTTATATATGTAAAAGTATCTAACCCACACAGAGAGACACACAATTCCTAGCATTTCATTTATTCATACCTGAATGGCGTGTTTCCTTGTAGACCTAACTTTCTGAGCAATTTGTCTGGAAAACTTGGGAAAACTGGATCGTTTATAGAGGTCAATATTCCATCTTTATTCAGTTGATGTGTGTCTTCATTCTCTGTACTTTCACCAGAACCACCGGGAATTGATTCGGGCTCGGATGCCTCCATTAAATCTGGCATCAATGACTTTCGTTTCGAGGTAAGGGACAACTCTCGTTTTCTTGGCTTATTCTATGGGTAAGATACAAAGTATTATTCATGAAGACGATGCATTGTACAGTTATGGCAACTGAAAGTTCAAAATTACATTTAATGTAAATATTTATGTAAAAAGCAATTACCATTTTAATTAAACATGTGGGTTGAAAGGAATTAATGTAGGTTTGGACACTCCAAATTTATTCCAGTCTTTTTATCCTCAGTCTAAGAAACGTATATTTAAATCGCCAAGCTTACAACCTCCTTCAAGTGACCCTTATCACAAGAAATACATGACTTAACTAACACAAAGAAAGACTTTGAAAGAAATGGTATGAAAATGCGAGGGTTCTAGAAGTACCATAAATCAACAAGAAATTCTTTTATAATAGTAATCTGATACATCTATAAGAGTTTGGACACAACTACAGTTTTGCATTTATGACACAATAAATTTTATATCCTCCTTTACAGCAAATTTATCCAAAATTAAACGTGAAAAAAAATACTTATGAAGTAAAACAAATTTGCACTGTCTGATATTATTCACTGACTTTTCCGGTGAACCTCCGTATATGTGTCTTACCTCATAGGTCATGTCTTTTCAAAAGAGTACTACTAATCAAACGCTCGCAAGGTCATATTTTAAGTAGGTTAGAGAGCTCTAAAGAATAGTAACTTTTGTTAGACCATAGAAGCTCATTGTTTTAACGCTTTCGCTAAATATCAAATTACACGAATGAACAACGTAGTATAAGTTACGTTTTAACCTGATTGTTTGCTAGGTGCTACACATTTACAGTAGGTATATATTCAGCGACTTATATTTTACAACACCTTGTCAAAGTGTAATCGAACTGGGACTGATAAACAATTTTCTGTTATTCTACGATTTCATTGCAAACTATGTCGTTCCCTTAAATTTTCTGAAATGCTTAACGTCAATCATAAAACGCTAACGATTTCAATCTTGTTTTTTGTTTTTTTCAGTCCTTGAACTTATACAATTTTCAACAGTTGTTTTGAAGGTCCACGTATTAAGTTGTAAATCTGAAACGTTTTTGAATTATCGTACCGTAAACCAAATAATGATAATGTAAGTTTAATTATTTGAAACCAATATTAATAAACACTCAGGAAAGTAGAATAAGAGAATCTTAAGAGTTAAACTTTTGTGAACTATAAACAGGCAGCACTGCATGTTCATGACTGCAAGAAAAAGAACGCACGCTACTCTTGTTTCACAAACACACATTATACAGAATCATATTCATGCTACAATATATTACATTTCATTAATTATTAGACCTAAGTATGATCAATTTTAAAAATAGAAAAATAATTAAAATCACTGGAAAGAGAAGAAAGTGGTCAACCTTTGCCTTTTTATTTCTCTTTACAGTGAAATTAATAGTATTTGTATGTTAATGCTTTCGAAGTATATAATTCTCTACGTGTGTTTTGCAAAAGACATCTTATTTCGTGACTGTATGATAGTACTTACAAACGTTTACTAAAAATTACTACAGTGTCAAATCTTGTTAGTTGTGCACTAAAGACTCATTATTAGTAGTGTTGGTTAAGACGTAGGAAATTATGCATAACTTAGAAATGGTTTCCCAAGCAATTGTTTAATAAATTTGATTATTTCCTTTTATCCTAAATTTAAAGAAAAACCTTGCTACTAAAATACGGGAAATAACACGTGCTTCTTAAGCAAGCTTGAATCAAGTAGTATATCTATATATAGAAGTCGGTAAAATCTGTGACACTGAATAAACATACGAAGGAATCTGTGCTGTTTGGTTTGTGTTTATGTTATTTTATATTTCTTAGGCATCACATTCAACATTCTTGTTAGCAGCCCTATACCTCCTTATATGACCGAACTAGTAACGTATAAAACATCGTTTCTTGATAGGTGCAGAGGCGGGGAATAAAAATAAAACAGTACTGATATTTCACACGTGAGTCATCTAATGTTTTAAGTTGTGCTACATTAATTACACATTTTTGTCAAAAACTCCTGAGGAATTTACTATGTATCTAAAGTAAGCAGCATTAAGGTACAAAAATTTAACATTTCAAATTGTGGGGACTGAATGATTAACGGAATTTCAGTGTGTTTATTAGAAAACCTACTGTGTGGTTACGTAATATGTTAAACAGAGAAGCCTAAGGACAGAGACCGAATCCAAAACTTCAGGCCTATGCAGACAATTGAAGATTAAACACGTGAATATCCTACTCTGTCAAAAAATACATAAAAAACAAGGGTTAAACTTTAAGGTAACGACAGCGGAAGTCACGTGACGCTAGTAACATGTCATGAACTTCTAGAACGTTCATGCCCCTTCCTGAAGTCTCGAGAGGTTACTAGATATGCGGTATTCTTGTATATATAAGACCGGTAAGAAGTGACGGCAACAATGTAATTGAACAGCAGACAGAGATAGAGACGTACTGCTGGGTCGAGCGCGTGTGTCGTTCGTTGTGAATTATAGCGTTTGTTTAAGCTATAGCGTGACCGTGGAAATTAAGTGAATTTCAAAGTTGTATTCAGAAAGAATAAACCAGTTTTATTTAAGAAAGGACTTGTATCGCTAAAGTTTCTTCGGAAAGAATTTTTACGGAAAATTAACTAACGACCAGAGACGTAACAAATTGGTGTCAGAGAGAGGGACGGAAAAGAAAAAAATGGAAACGAGAAGTGGCAAATCAAACTACAGCTTAGCAGATTTGATGGCAGCAATACAAGAACAAGCAAAAGAAACAAGAAGAGAGACAACAGCAGTTGCAAGAAAACTTGCAACAGTGGCAGCTGGAAAGCAAAATAAACAAGAGAGATTACAGCAGTTGTTGGAGGAAAAAGAAAATAAACAAGAAGAACTAGAAGAGAGATTACAGCAGTTGTTGGAGAAAATGAAAAGAAAGAAGAAAAGAAATTACAGCAGTGGTTGGAGGAAAAAGAAAAGAAACAACAAGAACGAGAAAATAAACAGGAAGAAAGTCAGCAACAACTACAGGAAAGTCAACAACAACTACAGGAAAGTCAACAACAGTGTCAAAAAGTACAAATGGAAAACATTAGTAAATTTAAAAGATACATTAAAGGATGATTTATTGTCTTTTACACAAGGAAGATACATTAACCATCGACTTAA